CTTTCCCTCTCACTGTCTGTCTGTCTGTCTCTCTCTCTGGCAGTGTGCATACCCTAAGGCAAAAATCTCTAAAAGTATAAATAGAGACCCCAGGGCTTTAGAGGGAGACTGCGCATAGCCGTACGCAGAGGAGTCGGGTCCTGTTGATAGACGTCGAGGTGGCTAAGGGCATCAGAATGCCAGAGCGGGTTGCCTAGAGGCCAACTGGAAACTGAACTTAGATGGAGGAAAGGGCTTGGCCGAAGCGTCGCGTGTGATTAGGTTTTCACACGCTCCAAGGGGAAGCTGAGTAGTGCCCTCTCCTGAGGACGCTCACATTTCCACCCCTTTCTGCCAGTTAACTTATTAGTTATCCTTTAAGCGCAGGCACAACCTACTCTGGGAAGCCCTCCTAGACTACCGACAGCCTATTTTAGGATTTCTTCTCTGGGTTCCCCCAATATTCTGTGCCGCTTTTGACAAGGCATCTAAAACTTTGTCTTTTCTCTCTCCCTTTTAGAGTTTATTTCTTTCATGAGCAAGAGAGACAGAGAGACTGAGATAGAGAGACAGAGCCTCCAACAGAGTCTTGAGGCCACGATCACCCGTAGTCTACACCAGCCCAGGATCGTGGACCCACACCTGTCCCGTACTCTCAGGGAGGTTTCCAGACTCCAACCCAGAGCCTTCCCACACGGTCTTGCAGAGCATGGCGTTTTACTACGGCAGCGCCATCCAGCTCCGCGTTACTTGCTTCCTCTTGAAGGTGGTGACCTTGACTCACTTATTTCTGTGTCTCCAGACTCTAACGCAAGACCAGGCACCTAGTAGGGCCACATGCATCTCATAAGACCCAGTCTTCCTGGACCCGTAGGCGGCGTGCCGAACTGCAGTGCTGGGAACCTCACGGTCGGCCATGGGTTTGGGTCCTTGGGCTGGTTATGTGGAACACATGGGTGTGCCAGGACCCTGGTAAGCTGGTAGCCTAGGGGAAGGGGACCGCTGTGTGACAAGAGCCTATCAGGTGTGCTTTTCTTTCTCTCACACATTGAACATGTGTGCATGTGCTCTTGACCGTGAATTAAAAAGAATGTATTTGATGAGTCAATGGCATTAAAAATAACGCTATCGGGGCAAGCAGATGGCATGGCGGTTATGTCACTGGATTCCCACATGGATGACCACGGTTCAAGTCCTGGACCTGGTAGCTTCAAATTCACACCGGGCACCTGTCTGTGCGTGCCCAAGATCCCGGTAGGAGAATGGAGGAGAAGGGATTGTGGTGTGGCCATCCCCCAGGGGGTGATTTCTCACTTTCTCTCTCTCTGGCAAGCGCACTTGCCCTATAAAAAAACAAACAAAAAACCAAACCCTCTAGTAATAGTAATAATAATACTGTCAGCTCCTTTGTTATGCCTAGAGGAGCACCATTAGCAGCCCAGAGCAGGGGTTGGCTACTCTGGAGCCAGAAAGGGGCCCTCAGACCGCTTTTCTGGCCAGGAAGAGCATCGGGGAGGCCTGCTGCCTCTGAGGATGGAAGTCCCGCCATCAGCCCGTTTTTGTTAGGCCAAGGCTGAGTGGGGCTGTTGAGGGACGTAGGCTTGGGGGCCAGGATTGTTGCGCTCCAGCTCTGCCCAGACCCACTACCTAGCTGGTGACCTCAGGCTGGCAGTGCACCTCTGCACCTCGGTCTCCCTAGTCTGCGAGGCCCTGGTCAGCCAGGAGTCTGTGGCCATGTGGACGTGTGCCTGCCCTGGGGTCACACCTCAGCCCTCCCCACCCCATCACCGAGGAGGCTAGGCTCAGAGGCCTGGGAAGCGAAGAGTGCTGTGGGGCTGCTCTGCAAGGGGCCCAGCAGGAAAAGAGCCTTGGGAGGGAAGCACCAGGCTACACTGCCCTCTGGGCCGCCCGTCACCCCAGGGTGAGGTGAGGGGATGGGCCAGTGGCTGTATGGGGTGCGGTGGGTCTGGCATTCCCTTTTCAGACCAGTGGGTACCTAATGTATTAGACGCCTTGAGTGAATCATTTCCAGTACCCCATATGACAAAACTACCACCGTAATAGTAAATAACAAATAAGTAATCATAATAGCCAGAAGAAAATTGGACAGTGAAAATTTACTGAACTCTGTAAAATATCACCAGTACATAAATAAAATAAAATACTGAAGGTGCTAGTAGGTGGTGTGGTGGTTAAAGCTCTGGAATGACTCATGGCTCATGGGCAACTGCAGTTCGAATCCCAGACCTGGTGGCTTGCTTTCTCACTTTCCCTCTCTCTCTGTCTGTCTCTGGTCAAATAATAATAATAAAAATAATAATAAAATCAGATAAATAATTCTTTAAAAATAAAATCCAAAGTACAAAACAGACAAATGTAATTAATCATCAAAAATAATACCAGTGGGGGGCACATGAAGAAAAGCTCCCCAAATCGTAAACTTCACGTTTGAGAGAATGATGTCATAGAGAATGACAGACCTGGACGAGCCTGCACCTGTTACTCCTGTCTTTCTGATGGCCGTGCGTCATCGCTTTTTTCTGAATAGGCCCTTTAGGGCAGGGATGTGTGGAACTGTTGGTGCTGAGACAGATGAGAACTGGGAACTAACTCCAATAATTCTAAATCATTCAACACTTTTTTTTTTCTTTTTTTGGAGAGGTTTTGCCTATAGCGT